AGGTATTGTATCCCAGCTACTTGAGAGGGTGAGGCAAGTGGAGCTCTTGAGCCAAAGAGTTTGAGGTTGTTGTGAGCTATGATGACACCATGGCACTCTACCCAGGGCAACAGAGTGAGAATCTGTCTCAAAAAATCAATTAATTAAATTAAATTAATTAGAAAAACTACTTTTTCAAGTCTAGAGAACCACTAAATAAAAATTTTAACTTGCCACTAACCATGGTGGCTCAGGCCTATAATCCTAGCACTTTGGGAGGCTGAGATATGTGGATTGCTTGAGCTCATGAATTCAAGACCAGCCTGTGCAAGAACAAGATCCCAGTCTCTACTAAAAGTAGAAAAACTAGCTTGGCATTTGTGGCAGGTGCCTCTAGTCCCAGCTACTCAGGAGGCTGAGGCAAGAGGATTGCTTGAGCCCCAGAGTTTGAGGTTGCTGTGAGCTATGATGATGCCATGCTACTCCACTCAGGGCAACAGAGTGAGACTCTGTCTCAAAAAATAAATAAATAAAAAATATAAATGCAAAGACATATACATAGGGCTAAGTATTAATTTCCAGTTATTTATGAGCTCTAATTCAGGGATAGAAGAAACTAAATTCATCCCTGGTGGTCTGGTGGTTAGGGAAAAAGACAACAACAAACTGAATTCAGTGAATTGCATCAACCACTAGAATGTAACTGTAAGATCACTAACTTTAAGAGGCATATAAACACCAAGCAGAGCAGAGAAAGGGAGGGAATAAATGGTAAAGAATTACCCACTGGGTACAACAAACACTTTTCTAGTGATAGATACACGGAAAGCCCAACTTAAGCATTATACAAGGTAGCTAATGTAATGAAAACATTTGTACTTCTCTAATATTTTGAAATTAAATAAATAAACGCCAAGTAGATAAGTCTAATGGTTATCAGTACAGTCAGTAAGTTCTTTTCAATTCTCAAAACCAGTATGATATTAGCTAGCTACAAACTGACACAGTATATAATAGCAAGACTTTTACTTGGAAAAAAAAGAATTGGGCATATAGGCTGGGAACTATGGCTCCTGCCTATAATCCTAGCACTCTTGGAGGCTGAGGTAGAAATTACTTGAGGTCAGGGGTTCAAGACCAGCCTGAACAAGACCCCATTTCTACAAAAATAGAAAAAATTAGCCAGGTGTGGTAGCATGCACATATAGTCCCAGCTACTAGGGAGGCTGAGTGGAAAAATCACTGGAGCCAAGGAGTTTGAGGATATAGTGAGCTGTCATCACACCAGTGCATTCCAGGCTGGGGAACAGAACAAGACTGTCTGAAAAAAAACTAATTGGACACGTGGTGAATTCAATTTAGTTGTTTAAAATAGTAAATTATTTAGGGCAGTGCCTATGCCTCAAAGGAGTAGGGCGCCGGCCCCATGTACCAGAGGTGGTAGGTTCAAACCCAGCCCCGGCCAAAAAAAAAAAAAGTAAATTATTTATTTATTTTTGAGACAGTCTCACTCAGTGGCCCTGGAGTTGAGTCCCAGGGCATCATAGCTCAAAACAACCTCAAACTCTTGGGCTCAAGGCAATCCTCTTGCCTCAGCCTCCTGACTAGCCAGGACTACAGGTGCCTGCCACCATACCCAACTAATTTTTCTATTTTTTTTTTTTGAGACAGTGTCTCACTTTGTCGCCCTCAGTAGAGTGCTGTAGTATCATAGCTCACAGCAACCTCAAGCTCCTGGGCTCAAGCAACTCTCTTGCATCAGTTTCCCAAGTAGCTGAGACTACAGGTGCCTGCCAAAATGCCTGGCTATTTTTAGAGATGGAGTCTCCCTCTAGCTCAGGCTGGTCTCAAACCTGTGAGCTCAGGCAATCCACCTGCCTTGGCCTCTCATAGTGCTAGGATTACATTTTCTATTTTTAATAAAGACAGGGTCTTGCTTTTTGCTCAAGCTGGTCTCGAATTCGTGAAATTAAGCAATGCACCCACCTTGGCCACCCAGAGAGCTAGGATTACAGATGTGAGCCACCACTCCCGGCCTGTTATTGCTTTTTATGAAGAGAGACTAACTTGGCATTCTTGTCCAGAAGATGAAGCTTAATAATTGTTTGCATTGCTTTTTTACATATATTTTTATATATATTATACAAATATATAAATATATTTTATACAAATATAAAAATAAAATCTGGGTCTTTTTTCTTTTTTTTTTTTTTTTTGAGACAAAGCCTCGAGCTATCGCCCTGGGTAGAGTGCCGAGGCATCACAGCTCACAGCAACCTCCAACTTCTGGGCGTAAGTGATTCTCTTGCCTCAGTTTCCCAAGTAGCTGGGACTACAGGTGCCTGCCACAATACCCAGCCAGTTTTTGGTTGTAGTTGTCAGTGCTGTTTGGCAGGCCCGGGCTGGATTTGAACCTGCCAGCTCTGGTGTATATGGTCTGGTGCCTTAGCTGCTTGAGCGACAAGTGCCGAGCCAAAATCTGGGTCTTAGTTTTTGATTTGACGAGTGTGAAGAAATAACTACATTCTAATAAATCAAGTTTGATATGCTCATTTTGAAAGTAGTACTGGAAAAGTCGTTGGGGGGCTTGTATCAATGGCACTGGTTACTTTGAACAAATAAATAAAAGCTTTCTCTAGTTGCTTCCTTTATCAGAAAAAAACATTGGATACCATGGTATATTATTTCCTCTGTATTAGAGAAGAGCTTTTCTAAATGCTAAGGGAAATTTCCATAGCCATTATTCAATCAGAACAGTGGTTAACTCTCTGCCTAAGGACCATTCTGGTTTTTTTGTTTGTTTCGGTATGTGTATGTGTAACATGCATATGTAAATGATTTTCTTTGTTTCTAAACATTCATCCAAACAAAACTCACAGGTAAGCCCAGGTGTCTGCAATACCATCATTCTGAGCAATGTAAGAATAGAAAATTTTCCTGACTCAACACCTATGGCTTAATCAGCTAAGGCGCCAGCCACATACACCTGAGCTGGTGGGTTCGAATTCAGCCCGGACCCGCCGAACAATGACGGTTGCAACCAAAAAATAGCCGGTGTTGTGGTGGGCACCGGTAGTCCCAGCTACTTGGGAGGCTGAGGCAGGAGAATCACTTGAGCCCAGGAGTTGGAGGTTACTGTGAGCTGTGATGCCACAGTACTCTACCCAGGGTGACAGCTTGAGGCTCTGTCTCCAAAAAAAAAAAAAGAAAAGAAAAGAAAATTTTCCTGAAGCCATAATGTTTCAAATTAAATAGTTGCTTCTTAATTGGATAATTTAAATGGATAATTTAAAGGCAGCTATGTCATAATCTGTAGCTACATGTATAGCCACATAAATGCTAAATATTGTTTATAAAATTTCTAAAAGGATAAGCTTTATCATTAACAATAACCTCCCTATCCAGATGAGGACCAAATCCTGGTGTGTTCTAATGAGGTAAATAAATAAGACTTAATTAAATTAAGGACATTAAGGATTCCTCTAGTAAGCCATTCTTAGGCTTGACTGATAGAAATCTAATCAGATGGTTAAGCAATGTTGGCATTCAGACCTGCTGATACAAACATGTGAACAAACTTGGTAATCTAAACTATTGACCTGCATGTTTTTTCCTTACCCCAACTCATTCCTTATATGTAGGCTCAAACTTTTCAGTATTTGGATTACTGGTTGAGCAGAAGCCATAAAAAAAACCAACTTCATAATCACCAGAATATTATCCAATTGTATATTGTTTACTTTATTGTAAATAATGGTGAACAGCTGTCAATAGTTTTACATTCCATAAAATATATTTCTTTTTTTTTTGAGACAGAGCCTCAAGCTGTCACCCTGGGTAGAGTGCCATGGCTTCACTGCTCACAGCAACCTCCAACTCCTAGGCTCAAGCGAGTCTCCTGCCTCAGCCTCCCAAGTAGCTGGGACCACAGGCACCTGCCACAACGCCAGGCTATTTTTTGGTTGCAGCCATTATTGTTGTTTGGCGGGTCCGGGCTGGATTCAAACCTGCCACCTTAGATATATGTGGCTGGTGCCTTAGCCGCTTGAGCCACAGGCGCCGAACCCATAAAATATATTTCTAATGTAAGCCTTTAAAATGCCTGCATAGGGTAGGCCCAGTGGTTCACTCCTGTAACCCTAGCACTTTAGGAGGCTGAGGTGGGAAACTACTTGAGGCTAAAATTCATGACCAGCCAGGGTAATACAGTGAGATCCCATCTGTACAAAAATATAAAATTTAGCTGGGTGTGGTGGCTTAACTGTAGTCCCAGCTTCTCAGTAGGCTGAGGCAAAGAGAATCACTAGAGCCTGGGAGTTTGAGGTTGCAGTGAGCTATGCTGATGCCCTGAACTCTAGCCTGGACAACAAAGCAAGACCCTATCTCAAACAAAACAAAATACAAAATAAACCCAAACTGCTTATATATTTGCACTATTGTATAAAAGGTTTTCATTTAGTCTCATAAGTATTTGTTAATATTTACAATAATAGTGGCAAACAAAATACTTCTTTGAGCTATCATTCTGGAACTTGAGGAGGTTGAGGCCAGGAGTTCAAGTCCAGCCTAGGTAACACAAGAAGCCTACATCTCTAACAAAAATATAAAAAATCAGCCAGGTATGGTGGTGTAGGCTAGTACTCTCAGCTATGCAGTAAGCTAAAGCTGGAGAATCACTTGAGCCCAGGAGTTTAAGATTACAGTGAACGATGACCACTATACTCCAGTTTGGGTGACAGAGCAAGATCATGTCTGGGAGTTGGGGAGGAGACAAACTTCTTCAATGGAAAAGGGTCAATATTTTGAAAGGATAGTTCTAATATCATGTCTAATATCATGAGAAAAGCAGTAATTCTCCTCTTACACCCACCTCCAAAAGGCATCTAACTTTATATAGCTATGATTTAAGAAAAAGATCTGCACAGCAACAAAAAATATGACAAAAGAATACAAAAAGAGTGGTTCCAAAATGCTAGTCAAGGCCCAGTATAAGGCAATAGAATTCCTGAGGAATTTTTTTAAGCTCTATTTCCTGAAGCCCATCCTTAACCAAAACCAAATTTTCTAAAATTCTGATAATATTCATCTTTTTACCCTAAGTCAAAACTTTAGTACCTCATTTTGCTTCTTGATTTACTTACCATCTTGGTTGGTAGCTGAATTAAATGAGGGCTGAGGTACAGCTCTATATGATGTTTTCTGGGGCATGAGACCCCTTACTAAAGGTGGGGCTCCAGCTGGAGGTGGCCCATGAGGGGCTCCTGGTTGAAAAGTGGTAGGCAGAGGTGGATTTGCTAAGGGAGGTACAGAAGAACCTACAGAAAATTGGTTTTTAACATGTCACTTAAGAACTTAAAAGCTAAAAACAGTCTTCTATCAAAGCTGAGTAACTTCCAAATTTACATTTTCATTATAATCACAACAAATTACCAGAAACATGTTAACTTCTTAAATTTATGACTTTTAAAATCTATACATCTGGGTGGCGCCTGTGGCTCAAAGGAGTAAGGCGCAGGCCCCACATGCCAGAGGTAGTGGGTTCAAACCCAGCCCCGGCCAAAAACTGCAAAAATAAATAAATAAAATCTATATGTCTATTTTTAAAATTTCCAACTATCTACTAAACATGCTTCTACCTGTCAATGATTAAAGCAGAGTAAATACAAAATTAGCATGAAATCACATCTGGAGTAGTTACAATGTCCTCTTCATTGATTAACTGATCAGAGATTCAATAGGCCATGTGAAATATCCAGTAGAAATCAACATGAATAAAAAGGTATCAATTTTATTTCATTAATTTTGTAATAGTTTGTTAACTATGTTTATTAATACAGTTTGCTCAATGAATTATCAAGTTTAGAGTAAAAATACAGAGTATTGTGGTTATTCTAAATTTTCCTAGGTTTATTTTATTTTGCTTTGTTTTACTGGGGTATAACCTGTTAAAAATGAGATTGGCACTCTGGGAGGCTGAGGTGGATGGACTGCTTTGTGCTCAGGGGTTCGAGACCAGCCTGAGAAAAAGTGAGACCCTCATCTCTACTAAAAACAGAAAAACTAGCCACACATGGTGGCAGACACTTGTAGTACCAGCCACTTGGGAGGCTAAGGCAAGAGCTGAAGAGTTGCTATGATGACATCACGGAACTCAACCCCAAGGCAACAGAGTTAGACTCTGTCTCAAAAAAAAAAAAAAGAAAGAGAGAGATTATAGATCTGTACACTGTATAATATCTGCCTAATAATAGTTAAATCTAGGCTCGGCGCCTGTGGCTCAAGTGGCTAAGGCACCAGCCACGTATACCCAAGGTGGCGGGTTTGAATCCAGCCTGGGCCTGCCAAACAACAATGACAGCTGCAACCAAAAAATACCCGGGCGTTGTGGTGGGCACCTGTGGTCCCAGCTACTTGGGAGGCTGAGGCAGGAGACTCGCTTGAGCCCAGGAATTGGAGGTTGCTGTGAGCTGAAATGCCATGGCACTCTACCTAGGGAACAGCTTGAGGCTCCTGTCTCAAAAAAAAAAAAAAAAAGTTAAATCTAGTTTACCTTCTAGAATGGCTTAAATATATAATAAGAACATTCCCTAGGCTTAAAAATCAGAAATTGATCTTTAGTTTATATATATATACATTATAAAACAATGTTGAAAGTTTACCATGAAGGTAAACTAAGAATAACATGGTATTTGTCCTTGTATCTAACAAGCATTTCACTGTCCTAATTTCCCAATTTTTCTATCTGGACAGTAAGTTCTAACCAGTGTAAAAACATGATCAGCTACTCATAGGGAAATTCTTCTATGTGATATCAAATTTTAAAGCCCCCAGTCACTTGTTCTTTCAAGTTAACCACATTACTTCTGCATTCTAATAAGGGGAGGAACAAAGTCTACAAAACAGATAAAACACCATAGATAAGTGTGTGCTTTTATTATTCTTTCCAAGACCTTTTTTATTTTTCTATTACTTTGTCACACTCTACAGTAGGGTGCCATGGCATCATCATAGCTCATAGCCAAAACCTTTCTTAAATATCCGAATTTATAGTAAAATAGGTAATAAATTTTACTTATAGCATATAGTTAACCCTGTATTTTATAAAATGAAAGGAATAAATATATCCAAATAGTACTGAAACATTTTGAAAAATTTCCTATTAAATTCTCCAGTACCAAATTGAAAAATTATTATTATTAGTGAACTTTATAGCTCTTAACAAGACAAATCAGTGCCTTGTTGATAAAAAGTGAAGGCAAAGATTACTGCCCTATAACCTCCTTATCAAGAGGCACTCACACGGATCTATTGCAATACAGACAAGCAAAAGAACAAAAGGGCAAAGTGCATTACCAACTCAGCATGAACAAGAATGCACAGTATGTATGTATTATACATCTGACCACAAAGACGTTATAAGCTAATGTTTAACAGAATACAAGTTTAGAGATTTTTCACAGTTTTTAGAATATTTTTGAATCCAGATCATTATACATTTCATAAAAGACATTAGTTTTTCAAGTTGAATAATCCTTATTTATTATATAAATAGCTAGAATTTCAGAATTCATCTTCTCAGATCCCTAAAGCTAATTCATGTAAGGATGCTAAAAGATGGCCTATTAGAAAAAAAAATTTCAGAAAATTTAATATGTGGACAAGAAACTTGATATAACTTTAATACTCATAGTTTTCATATCAGAATATCAGGTACCTATTAGCTATTACAGATTGAAAAACCAGAAGTAAAATTACCCACTGAGCTATGGGTACTGCCAGAACCACTACTCTTTTTTTTCTTTTTTTTTTGAGACAGAGCCTCAAGATGTCACCCTTGGTAGAGTGCTATGGCATCACAGCTCACAGCAACCTCCAACACCTGGGCTCAAGTGAGTCTCCTGCCTCAGCCTCCCAAGTAGCTGGGACTACAGGCACCCGCCACAATGCCTGGCTATTTTTTGGTTGCAGCCATCATTATTGTTTGGCAGGCCGGGCTGGATTCGAACCCGTCAGCTCAGGTGTATGTGGCTGGCACCTTAGCCACTTGAGCCACAAAGCCAGAACCACTACTCTTAAGCAGTTTTTAAAAGTACAACTTTGGCCCAGCACGGTGCCTCATGCTAGTCATCCTAACACTTGGGAGGCTGAGGTGGGTGGATTGCTCAAGCTCAAGAGTCCTAGACCAAACTGAGCAAGAGCAAGAACAGAAAATAACTAGCTGGGTGTTGTAGCTAGGGCCTTAGTCCCAGTTACTCAGGTGACTGAGGCAAGAGGATTGCTCAAACTCAGGAGCGTGAGGTTGCTGTGAGCTATGACACCTGAGCCAGAGTAAGACCCCCGTCTCTAAAAATAGCCAGGTACCTATAGTTCCAGCTACTCAGGAGGCTGAGGCAACAGAATCACTTCAGCCCAAGAGTTTGAGGTTACTGTGAACTAAGATACCATGGCACTCTATCAAGGGCAACAAAGTGAGACTCTTGTCTTAAAAAAAAAAAAAAAAATTGGCTAAAGCAGTAAGGTACTAGCCACATACACCTGAGCTGGCAGGTTCAGATGCAACCAAAAAATAGCCTGGCATTGTGGTGGGTGCCTGTTGTCCCAGCTACTTGGGAGGTGGAGGCAGGAGAATCACTTGAGCCCAGGAGTTGGAGGTTGCTGTGAGATGTGATGCCAGAGCACTCTACCCAGGGCAACAGCTTGAGGATCTGTCTTAAACAAAAAAACAACAACAACAACAACAACAACAAAAAAAAAAATATATATATATATATATTTCTACAAAGAAACTAAGTTTCCACAAGTAACCTCCATTTTTACAAGATCAAAATCTATGCAACAGGACCAATGTCTGGTCAGAAACCTAGAAAAATTAAGTTTCAGCAATTAATAAGCTACAAGCCTGATGGAATATATGTCATGTATGCATACAAAAATATATGAGTAAAAAAAAAAAAAGGTAACTGGGTGGCACCTGTGGCTCAAAAGAGTAGGGCGCCAGCCCCATATGTTGGAGGTGGTGGGTTCAAACCTGGCCCCAGCTAAAAAAAAAAAAAAAGATAACTATTGATATTACTACTTCACTAAATTAATCTGTAGATCCCAATAAGGAATTTCTAATGCTTTTCTTTTCTCTTTTTTTTTAGAGACAGAGTCTGGCTTCGTCGCCCTCAGGTAGAATGCCATGGCATCACAGCTCACAGCAATCTCCAGCTCTTGGGCTTAGGTGATTCTCTTACCTCAGCCTCCCGAATAGCTGGGACTATAGGCACCTGCCACAAGGCCAAGCTATTTTTTTGTTGCAGTTTGGCCGGGGCCGGGTTTGAACCCACCACCCTCGGTATATGGGGCTGGCACCCTACTCACTGAGCCACAGAGGCCACCCTTTTACTGCTTTTCAAAGAAACACTACTAATGCTGGTAAGTGTATAGGACCCTGCTAATTTTAGTAGCAAAAAAGGGAAAGTGAAATTGTTAAGTGAATCTGCTTCTGAACCAGACAGGATCAAAAACCGAGGTTAAAAAATAAAAAGATCGGCTCGGCGCCTATAGCTCAACCGGCTAAGGCGCCAGCCACGTACACCCAAGGTGGCGGGTTCGAATCCCCAGCCCGGACCCGCCAAACAACAATGACAGCTGCAACCAAAAAATAGCCGGGCGTTGTGGCGGGCGCCTGTGGTCCCAGCTACTTGGGAGGCGGAGGCAGGAGACTCGCTTGAGCCCAGGACTTGGAGGTTGCTGTGAGCTGTAATGCCACGGCACTCTACCCAGGGGGACAGCTTGAGGCTCTGTCTCAAAAAAAAAAAAAAAATGTATATGAAAACAGCACACTGTACCCCATGATTGCATTAATGTACACAGTTATGCTATAAGAAATAAAGGAAATTTGAATAAAAATAAATAAATAAATAAATAATAAAAAGATCAGCCAGGCATGATGGTTCACACTTCTAATTCTAGCAACTTTGAGAGGCCAAGGTGAGAGGACTGCTTGAAACCAGGAGTTTAAGATCAGCATAGGTAACATAACAAGACCCTACTTCTAAAAAAACTTAGCCAGGTGTGGTGGTATGTGCCCAGACTTCTAGCTACTTGGGAAGCTGAGCAGAAAGGATTGAGTCCAGGAGTTGGAGGCAGCAGTGAGCTTATGATTATGCCACTGCACTCCAGTCTGGATGAGAGAGGAAGACTGTCTAAAAGGAAAAAAAATCTATCCATTCTATGGAGTTACTGAGTACAACTGTGGTTGGAACACTCCTTGCTCCAAAAGCATCATGTTTTGACCTGTTCCTTCAATATCCTACACAGTTTATGGGCCAAAAAAAGTCATGCCAAAAAGAACTCAAATGTCAGATCAAGACCAAATAGAGAATAGATTCATCTAACTTACTTAGCTGTTCATTAAAGTAAAGGCCAGTCCCTAAGTAAAAGGTTCTGCATACATATCCTACTCCCTGAAATATGATTTAACTCAAAGAAAAATACAAAACACCTTCAAAGTAAAGAAGTAAAGCAGGACCAATTCATAAGTTTAAGTTATTTGAGTTAACTCAGAAGTTAGAAAAGTAATTTATACTATAAAGACTAATAGGCTCAGTGCCTGTGGCTCAAGTGACTAAGGCACCAGCTACATACACCTAAGGTGGCAGGTTCGTATCCAGCCTGGGCCCGCCAAACAACAATGATGGCTGTAATCAAAAAATGGTCAAGCGTTGTGGCAGGCACCTGTGGTCCCAGCTACTAGGGAGGCTGAGGCAGGAGACTCGGTTGAGCCCAGGAGTTGGAGGTTGCTGTGAGCTGTGATGCCATGGTACTCTACCCAGGGGGACAGCTTGAGGCTCTGTCTCAAAAAAAAAAAAAAAGACTAATAATGATTTTAAAAGTCAGGCCAGGAGAGGTGGCTCACACCCATAATCCCAGTACTCTGGGAGGCTGAGGTAGGTGTATCACTTGATCTCACAAGTTTGAGACCAGCCTAAACAAGAGAGAGACCTAGTCTCTAAAAAATAGCTGGGCGTTGTGGTGGGCGCCTATAGTCCCAGCTACTCAGGAGGCTGAGGCAAGAAAATTGCTTGAGTCTAGAAGTTTGAGGTGGCTGTGAGTTACGATATCAGGGCACTCAACTCCAGGGCAACTGAAAAAAAAAAAAAAAGCTGGGCATTCGGGCATTGTGGCAGATGCCTGTAGTCCTAGCTACTCAGGAAGCTGAGGCAAGAGAATCCCCTTGAGCCCAAGAATTTGAGGTTGCTGTAAGCTATGACACCATGGCACTCTATCCCAGGGCAACAAAGTGAGACTCTGTCTCAAAGATGATAATAATAAAATAAAAGTCAGTGGTTTTCCATATGTTTTTAAGGTTTCAAGAATTAATTCAACCATGTAAACAAGCAAAAGTTTCACATTTCTACATTTTATGCACCCCTATAGGAACACTACCTGACTTTAAGAAGCTGTTTTGAAGTGAAGGATCTCCAGAAGAAACATATTGATGATTTGTTGTTGAACTTGTACTCCCAGATACTGGTGGTTGTGATGATGCACGAGGACTATGGTTTGTCTGTGATTCTGTTGATGGATAGTTATATTGCCAATTCAAAGGTGGTGGTAGGTTGGTTCCAGGAAGAAAGCTACCAGAAGGCATTGATGCAGCAGCTGGGTTCTGAGACGCAGGTAGCGGCATTCGAGAAACGAGACCACTATGGAGCGAAGGTGTTACTAAATTAGAGGCCACAGGTGGTCTATTAAGAGTTTGCCCAGATCCCTGAGAACTGCCATAGTTAGACTGTCCAGAGGCTGGATTCAAAGTCTTTGCTGGTATTAGATGGGGGTAGGATCCTGGAAGCTGGAAATTATATCCTTGGCTCCCTGACACTTGTGAAGACATCAGTGCATTTTGAACAGGACCTTCCAATAAGAGGAGGAAAAATTAGTCTTTCAACAAAGATAGGAATATTAAAAAACATATTTTAAATATACATACTCAAAACTAAAAATATAAATAACCCAATTTAAAAATAAAGGATTTAAATATACATTCAACTGTATTTTCAAAGATGATATAGTACAAATGGCTAATAAGCACATGTGAAAACACTCAACATTATTAGTTGTTGAGATATACAAACATCATTAGTTATTAAAAAGATGTTAAATC